GACCCTGGCTGTACATGAGGCGATAAACCCACCTTCCCCTCAAACTGACCCTGGCTGTACATGAGGCGATAAACCCACCTTCCCCTCAAACTGACCCTGGCTGTTCATGAAGCGATTAACTCGCCTCCTCCTCAAACTGACCCTGGCTGTTCATGAGGCGATAAACCCACCTTCCCCTCAAACTGACCCTGGCTGTACATGAGGCGATAAACCCACCTTCCCCTCAAACTGACCCTGGCTGTACATGAGGCGATAAACCCACCTTCCCCTCAAACTGACCCTGGCTGTTCATGAAGCGATTAACTCGCCTCCTCCTCAAACTGACCCTGGCTGTTCATGAGGCGATAAACCCACCTTCCCCTCAAACTGACCCTGGCTGTACATGAGGCGATAAACCCACCTTCCCCTCAAACTGACCCTGGCTGTTCATGAAGCGATTAACTCGCCTCCTCCTCAAACTGACCCTGGCTGTTCATGAGGCGATAAACCCACCTTCCCTTCAAACTGACCCTGGCTGTTCATGAGGCGATAAACCCACCTTCCCTTCAAACTGACCCTGGCTGTTCATGAGGCGATAAACCCACCTTCCCTTCAAACTGACCCTGGCTGTACATGAGGCGATAAACCCACCTTCCCCTCAAACTGACCCTGGCTGTACATGAGGCGATAAACCCAGGAGGCAAACGAAAAACGAGAAATGAAAAATCAATACAAATTACGACAATATGAATAACGTGGCATCGCTGCACCGTTATCTCTTTAAATTATCGTTTCTATTGCGTCACAAGCTTTATAAATAACATATGACTGTCAGGACTAACTGTAATGTGAATCGGGGTTTATTTCGGTCGTATAATATAACGACAAAAATATAAATACATGCATTATGCATGAAGTCAAGCTAGAGGATGCTGGTGACATGTCAACGGTGCACAGGGCATATTCGTGTGAAACGATTCATCAAATATACACACGTACATATAGATACACATTTGTACATATTGCACTCCCTTTTTATGTAATGGAATTTATTTTCATTTTTTTATGGAAGCACTGAGTAAAACAGACGATAATGATACATACAGTTCGACAAAATTATACTGTACAGATAGCGAGTTTCCCAGTCATGAATCTTCACCTCGCTTCCCAGGGGAGGTAATTCTTTATCTATCTATCTATACCCCAGAGTGTTAGCGGTGACGACTTTTCTAAATTCGTCTCTTTTGAACATTTCACACCGGTGATCGGTACTCCTAATCAGATAATAGTTCAATTTAATTTCGATAATCATTAGATGGGGATTTTGACCCCAGCATGACGTGTTTCCCAATCTCCATTCATCCATGAAACAACCTACAGAAATGAGTAAATAATCAACATATACAAAATAGATGTGTATTTAACGGACGTCGGACGGATACGACAATTCTCATTGGGAAGTGACCAGATAAGAGCGTATAATCATGGAAAAATATCTAATGAAGTAAGTCCTTTTATCAGTAGCCCAGTAGCATATGTCTGTAGTAATATGTACACCATATAGATAAATCCAAAGAAAATCAAATGTTGACCCAATTTTCAAATTTCAGTTATTGAAATGGAATTTGATTTAAAAAAATTGTGTTAAGATCAACTTGTGAAAGTTTAAAATAAGATTAAGCTATTTGTTTAGATGATACGTGTAAACAGTGAATCGCGTGTTCGTATTCATTTACGAGTCTACAAATGTAATAAACGACTAGTGTGTATCACAGTCAGTGACGGCAACAATAAAACAACATAACCATGGATACGAATTTTGTAGGTGACCGGAAATATGCTTCTATTGAAAAAAAAACACAAACATTTCCGTTAAGGGGACACGACGAAGATATCACATAATTGCCGACAATTACACTACCCTTGATACTGTTTTAATCTTGTATGGATAAGTTAAAGTTTCCACGACCTATGCAATTATATATACCACCAAAACTATAACCAGATCAGCTGTAATGGCATAGCTTTAACTTATAAAAGAAAGGTCGTTAATTCTTTAACAACGAGGACGTCAGTACCACATACAGCGGGAACGGTATCAATTATCCCGAGGAAGCGTATTCACAAGTATCTGGTGTGAGAGACAAATATTACTACCGCAGTAGAAAATCGAATAAGAAACAAATATTTCGACCATAGCTGAAAATCGTATGAGATACAAATAATTCTACCACAGCTGAAAATCGTATGAGATACAAATAATTCTACCACAGCTGAAAATCGAATAAGAAACAAATAATTCTACCACAGCTGAAAATCGTATGAGATACAAATAATTCTACCACAGCTGAAAATCGTATGAGACACAAATAATTCTACCACAGCTGAAAATCGTATGAGACACAAATAATTCTACCACAGCTGAAAATCGTATGAGAGACAAATATTACTACCACAGCTGAAAATCGTGTGAGGAACAAATATTACCACAGCTGAAAATCGTGTGAGAAACAAATATTTCGACCATAGACTGAAATTAATGTCATTCAGATCTATATAATAAATAACAACATTGATTGATATTATGGGTGTATTTGAAATGTTCCTGTCATTTAATAAATGACCATTTGACAACATTTCTTTTCTCTGTTGATTTTTGTTTATAAGATATGTAAAACAAATAACAAGCTGCAGTCTCTGAGCTGGGTTACCATGCTAAAACAAATATTTCTACCACAGCTGGAAGTCGCATGAGAAACAAATATTTCTACCACAGCTGAAAATCGTGCGAGGAACGAATATTACGATCATTGGCAAAACTCGTATGTATAACAAAATTTATTTCCATTACTAAAAATTGTATCAATATCGAATATTACTGCCACTGCTGAAAATCACAGAAATCGAGAAACGAATATTCTATGTTATACAATAACTAGTCACAAAGGTAATGAAATAAAAAATAACTAAAATGTGTCACTTATGGAAATCTTAGGAAAAACGAATATTACTAACAGACAAATATTTTTACTTCAACTGGCTGAAAAAATAACTTCATCATTTGTACTACAGTGCAAAAGGTGTGGCAATTAATCCACTCATATGATAACCAGACATTATGATATGATTAGTTTATTAGAACGAATATAATTTCCCATGAAGAGAAACAAATTTTGCTTCATGGACCAGTCTTGATAACGGAATTGTTTTCCTGGTAAAGAATTCATGAGAAATAATGGTTCTACTGCATATTTTCAATTTTCACTATCATTGAGGAATAGTTTGAGACAGAGTATATTTCCTTAGTTTTGTTGAACAAAAATATCCCTCGTCTTTCTATTGCTTATACTGTTGGACACCCTTAAGACAAAATACGGCTTAGTGGGCGTGTATACACGAAAAACAAATTATATCACACGTTGATACCACAAATCTGGTGCCGTATCTTTACACAGATGAACATGTTCAGGGGACGATGTTACGTGTAATTGGCTCTCAACACCTCTAGGAGATAACACAATTGACAAGCAGAATTCGTGCTTTCAATGCCGTTTTGACACTGAACGTGCTCTTTATTTCATTTGCAGTGTCATTCACTACTAACTTTCGTATGGATATCACATTTTGAAAAGATAATGAAATTATCATGCATGTTTTCCTTCAATTATTCATTTCTGGCGTTTTATTTGTTTCACTTGTATATAAATTAGACGATTAGACAAGTTTTACCTATATCTAAAAGACAATTTTTACCTGTATATAAAGACAGATTTTACCTGTATACAGAGTCAAGTTTTAACTATATATAGAAGACCAGTTCTACCTGTATACGGAAGACAAGTTTTACCTGTATATAAGAGACAAGTTTTACCTGAACATAGAAGATTGGTTTTACTTATATATAGGAGACAAGTTTTACCTGTATATAAGAGACAAGTTTTACCTGAACATAGAAGATTGGTTTTACTTATATATAGGAGACAAGTTTTACCTGTATATAATAGACAAGTTTTACCTGTATATAAGAGACAAGTTTTACCTGTATTTAAGAGACAAGTTTTACCTGTATATAAGAGACAAGTTTTACCTGTATATAAGAGACAAGTTTTACCTGTATTTAAGAGACAAGTTTTACTTGTATATAAGAGACAAGTTTTACCTGTATATAAGAGACAAATTTTACTTGTATATAAGAAACAAGTTTTACCTGTATTTAAGAGACAAGTTTTACCTGTATTTAAGAGACAAGTTTTACTTGTATTTAAGAGACAAGTTTTACCTGTATTTAAGAAACAAGTTTTACCTGTATTTAAGAGACAAGTTTCACCTGTATATAAGAGACAAGTTTTACCTGTATTTAAGAGACAAGTTTTACTTGTATATAAGAGACACGTTTTACCTGTATATAAGAGACAAGTTTTACCTGTATATAAGAGACAAGTTTTACCTGTATTTAAGAGACAAGTTTTACCTGTATTTAAGAGACAAGTTTTACCTGTATTTAAGAGACAAGTTTTACCTTTATTTAAGAGACAAGTTTTACCTGTATATAAGAGACAAGTTTCACCTGTATATAAGAGACAAGTTTTACTTGTATATAAGAGACAAGTTTTACCTGTATATAAGAGACAAGTTTTACCTGTATATAAGAGACAAGTTTTACCTGTATACATATGTAAGTTTTATCTATATAAAAGACAAAGTTTACCTGTATATAGAAGACATATTTTTACCTGCATACAGAGATAAGTTTTACCTTTATATGAAAGACAAGTTTAACCTATATATAGAAGACATACTTTTACCTGTATATAGAAGACATATTTTACCTGTATATAAAAGACAAGTTTTATCTGTATAGAGAAGACATACTTTTAAATGCATAAAGAGATAAGATTTACTTTTATATAAGAAACAAGTTTACCTGTATAGATGAGATAACATTGACCGGCTAATACAAGACCAGTGCATCGTTTTAACATCGGTCCAAATATAGTTACGTTTAGTTAGGGAAGTCTTACCTGTATGTAGATGACGAGTTTACACATGACGAGACCAAACAACCACGACTGAGATATATCCTGAACGAGCGTGAATGGTAGACATATTAGTATCACAATAAAATCAGCACACGCCAGATTCACAAGGAAGTAATTCGTGACCGTCCGAAGGTGTTTATTTTTCCACACGGCATAACAGACAATAAAGTTCCCTCCAAGTCCCACGGTGAACACGACGACATAAAGGGCCACAAAAACCCACTCATACACATCCGGAAATATGTACTTTCGGATTTCGGCGTGCCATTGCTCCGGGTTCCAGTCATATTGGTAACTTGTCCCGTTATCAGGATACACCTGAGAAAGGTTATCGCTTGACATATCGACGTTCGGAGTTCCAAGGTCCCACACGAATTGGTTAACTTTCCATAATGCCTTCCGTTTTTGACGAAATCATCTAAAATCCTATAAGTCGCCTAAAGCAGCAAATAACTTTTGGAACAGGAAAAGTTAATGTTGGGTACATATTTAATGCGGAGGGTGAAATCCACTCCCCGCCCGTAGTAGCGTAGGATTCTATTTGCTGAGGAGCCTGTTAGCAGACCTGCTGTGCTTCCAGTACGTGTATTGGCAGGGTCATTCAGCTGCCGTAACATAGGGGAGCGCGTGCTCGGGTGTGATTGCCGCTGATATGATGGACAGCTACCGTGTATACTTAGCTATACGTGGACAGATCCACCAACACATAACATGTTCATTGTATGAAGAGTGCTGATCTGTAGCGAACAAATCCTTTCGATCATTTTTTTCCTTTATGAATAGCGAAGATTGACAGGTATGCGGTATATTTATACGGTAAACTGTGTACGCACAGTGCAACATTATCACTTACTTCACTACTACACTTTCGATATTCCTTTGCCTAACAGTTTTCATGTTAAGTTAAATGAAACACTTTAGTACGGTACGACAGTTCTCCTGTCATAACAGTTTGCGTGAGGAATATGTTTCTGCTTGGTACATTTTACGGCTGCTAAATTAAAGTGAAGATTAAATTTTTGCTGAACAATTGTCTGCGACACAACTCTTTGACATTCACTTTTTTCAGTACAATGATATTACATTCATTGTGTACTTATAACTGTTTCCAGTACAGTTTTATGTGCGATATATGAAGTTGATATGTTTTTTGAGGAACACAACTTTTGGCATCACAGTTTCGTTAACAAACAATGTTTGGTGTAGCTTTAAGAGGCACAGTTTTATCCTTATCAGGATGTTTTTCTCATTTCAGATACCTACTGTTTGACGTTTTCTGGCAGTCTATTAAGGTATTTGTATACTATGCATTAAGTCGGACACTAAAGCAGTCCAAACTGATAACGTGTCTGCTCTTAGAAAGGCTTTATTTTTGTGGTTCAGATATACTGGTATGCGGGGCCCTATTTGGGTATATCTTTTCCGTCATTGTCTTTCAGTGAGACACTTGATGCGGTACACCTTCGGTAACATTTTGTCGGAAAACATTTTCCGTAGACTTGTAACATTGTGTTAACGTGAAAAGAGCGTTAGTCAATGATCCGGGAAATGATGACCGAAAAAAATAGCTACAATGATAACCGTTTATTACAATGAATCAATGACGAATTTTTGTTTATATATATACATACTTACATATACCGCGAGATGTACCGGCAGACTACCTACCTCGTAGTGTGACATACAATTGGTTTCGTTGCGATCACATATACGCTAAGTGTCTACATTGCAAAACATACAGAAATCGATATAAAACATGTTCCATACACCAACTTAAGATGGTTCATTTGTCTCTTATAAAGGGCCTTCGGCGTCCATCGGCCGAAGAGATTATCGAGACACCTTAATTTTACATCACTGCTCTCGATTTAGATTTATAACTTTGTATTTCTATTATGTTCTATGTATGTGGTGTAATTTATGTAATGTTTGTATGTTGATAAAGGGCATGTTGCCTCGAAAATTTGACAATTCACTTGACTTGTCCGTACTGTCGTTATTACTTCACTGATCAAATTTATATAAGGCACCCACTAGTTCACACATTCTCAAACAAAAATACATCAAAAATCAGTTTGTAGCTTCACGGTATGTCACGCGAAGATTTGTAAACACAATCCTATTGTATTCCATCATATTGGATGGGTCGCTCCTGGCGCTCAGTGGGGTAGAGTTGATATTGCTGCTGTCAGTCTAGATGTAGATTATTTTACATACGAAGCTACAATAGTACGCGATCGGATATATATATATATATATATATATATTAAAGTCACTCACATTCATTGTTCGATTAACCTTTTGTGGTACACTCTTCAGTACATCTTTCGAAGTCTGCTTTTGTGATTTGCTTCTGTACGGTACGTAATGAACTGTACATGATTTTAAGTGGTACTTAGTTTCTTTCGTTCTCATACCTAAACAAACAGGAAAATAAAGAGCACGCCGCAGCATTTAGACAGAATAACTAATACAACTCCACCCCCTTCCTATCCTCGAAATTCCGGGAGATACGATCACGATAAACCAGATCCTAGCAAATTGAGGATTCCATGTGCGATACCGTGTGGACAAGACGAAAAGACTACTTTGATCCTTTGATGTACATCAAACGAATTTTGGGGTCGCATAACAATAATTGTAATGGCTTTGAAGTTGTGTGTCGATCCTTTGTAATCTCCAAAGGAGGGTGGGAGCCTGTGGTTGGTCAGGTTTTTTTTCTCCTTGAACGAATCAAATTACTTCGCTTGTGCCTGAAATTTTGCCATGACATGTTCCAGAGGTGTATGCAGAGAGCGAAAGTGACCGTAACCTCTGAAGTATCGAGGATTTCCCCTCCCTACCCCACCCAACACAATATATTTGTAAAATGGCCGTGTTGTTTCAGTCTATATAGGTTCTCGTTTTCGGACACCAATTTGTCTCTATCAGCTGTATGACCGACCACACAATCTCAAGCATTATTAGCTTTGTTTTCATTGACGGTTCGGAAAGACATCATCACAATAGGTATCCTTTTCCTGCATTGGGGTGTTTGTATGTTCATAAGTATGTGATGGCGATATTATACAAATGTCCATTAGATATCTGTAACTATGGATACATATATACTGTTATTGTTATTAAGAACTGTGTATGTGACAGTAAAACAACCTGAAAATATCAACAAAGTCTGATCATTGAAACCAAAAGGGCTATCAAGACATCAATAATCCAATAATTACTATATTTACACGAACCAATAAGAATCTCAGAAAAACATGAAAATGCCAGTTATAATCATACAAAAAACAACAAAGAAATTATCGACATGTCAACACAATTATAATCTAATCCCAAATTCATTAAAAACAGAGTAAACTATGAACACAAGAAAGATTTATACGGAGTCTACATAAAAAATATAAGGAAAATTAAACAAGGTGTTCCGGAAGAGTAAACGTCTTCTGCTTCATCGACAACACCCGCCATGGAAATAACACCGCCTTCTCAAATGAGAACAAAGTTGTACAACACTGGAACCAACAGGTATACGAACGAGCATACACGAAAATCAAGCACATGTCTCAACGTCATACACACAATTCTAATTTTTTACCACGAAATACACTGCTCGTATGTTCATTTGTTAAGTGAACTTTGGTTATCTTTTTAGGATATACAATTTATCGCTGATTTAACGTTTGATACATAAGGTCCGAACAACATTTTGGGAATTGATAATGAAAAGATGTAGTTGTTGATGCACGGGGAATTTGAAATGCAGTTTTTGATTGGTAAACGAGATGGAAATGAAAAGTAGTTCCTGGCACACAAGGCATTTGAAATGCAACCTTTGATTGGTGAACGAGATTGAAACGAATTAGTTCCTGAGGCGCGGAGAGTTGACATGTAAACTTTGATTGGTTAACAAGGTTGAAATGAAGTAGTTCCTGAGGCAGGGTGATTTGACGTGTAAACTTTGATTGGTTAACGAGATTGAAATGAAGTAGTTCCTGACGTGCAGTTAATTCCAGTTGTAGCCTTTGATTGATTAACGTTAAAATCACTGCGACAAAAAGACATGAATAAACATAATTTTCAAAGAAATCGCTTCACCCTACTTTTGAAGTCTATTGAATTATCGGACTGTCCGACTCCAAACCAATTTATAATCTTTATATTTTCATCGACTGCTCTCCGATAGTGTGGTTTGCTATGAATAATTCTTTCTTTAAACATGATAAATGTAAATTTGTATCAAAAGTGCTCAGAGTAGGGCTGTAATTGTTTGTATCAGTAAAGGAGGAAGTCTTGACGGAATAATGAAGGATTGGTAACATTTTACAGTTACTAGACATAACTAATCTGTTATTCAATAGTCACATCAGAAAATTAACAGACGCTGTACAGATAAGGTATTGAAAAACAACTATATCATCCGGTTGTCTATATTCATATATTTTAGTTATGTTCGTTCTGATCACTATTTGATTATGTAACAATTGTAACGATTTATTTATTGATGCGAGACAACACATCAATCGAAAGCTTGAAGTATACAATTTGTAGAGGATATTATTTGTTTCTTGATCAATAACATCGCATGAGGTGGAAACTTTGATGTTTTTAAAATAAAGTTTCAGAAAACATGATAAAAGTTTCCGATGAAAAATATCAAAGCGTCCACTGAAAAATATCAAAGTGTTCAGTGAAAATATCAAAGTGTTCAGTGTAAAATATCAAAGTGTTCAGTGTAAAATATCAAAATGTTCAGTGTAAAATATCAAAGTGTTCAGTGAAAATATCAAATTATCCAGTAAAAATATTAAAGCGTTCAGTGAAAATATCAAAGTGTTCAGTGAAAATATCAAATTATCCAGTAAAAATATCAAAGTGTTCAGTAAAAATAAGAAAGTGTTCAGTGAAAATATCAAAGTGTTCAGTAAAAATATCAAAGTGTTCAGTGAAAATAACAAAGTGTTCAGTAAAAATATCAAAGTGTTCAGTGAAAATATCAAGGTGTTCAGTGAAAATATCAAAGTGTTCAATGAAAATAACAAAGTGTTCAGTGAAAAATATCAAGGTGTTCAGTGAAAATATCAAAGTGTTCAGTAAAGATATCAAAGTGTTCAGTGAAAATAACAAAGTGTTCAGTGAAAAATATCAAGGTGTTCAGTGAAAAATATCAAAGTGTTCAGTAAAAATATCAAAGTGTTCAGTGAAAATAAGAAAGTGTTCAGTGAAAATATCAAAGTGTTCAGTAAAAATATCAAAGTGTTCAGTGAAAATAACAAAGTGTTCAGTAAAAATATCAAAGTGTTCAGTGAAAATATCAAGGTGTTCAGTGAAAATATCAAAGTGTTCAATGAAAATAACAAAGTGTTCAGTGAAAAATATCAAGGTGTTCAGTGAAAATATCAAAGTGTTCAGTAAAGATATCAAAGTGTTCAGTGAAAATAACAAAGTGTTCAGTGAAAAATATCAAGGTGTTCAGTGAAAATATCAAAGTGTTCAGTGAAAATAACAAATTATCCAGTAAAAATATCAAAGTGTTCAGTGAAAAATATCAAGGTGTTCAGTGAAAATAAGAAA